TACAGGTTACAATGCCCATATTCTTAAGTGTCTGGTAGTCTTCTGAATCAGTGAACCAAGCCTGCCGATTCAGAAACTTTGTCTGCTTATGTTACGATCATGAAAAAATAATTTTATAATTTAGAATCTATGGACAATTGGCAGTAACTTACAACCCTTCCCTCCCCTCCCCCATTAGTCCATTATTAGAAGGGTCACTTCTGAAAGCGTGCAGGCTAGGCATGTGTCAAACTATTGGTATTGGCTAATTTTGATGGTATCAGTGGTGGCATATAATTGAGTATCGGTGTTGGGATTGGTAGATATCAGACAATTTTGATGATACAGGCAGGCCCCGCTTTACAGTGCTTCACTTTACAACGTTCTGCTAATACAGCAGTTTTCAATTGTACCCATTTTTCATTTATTCAGACTTCTTACAATAAATATATTCACCACTCACTATAAGCTAAGGATGAAAATATTTTAAGGTAAGTAATGTATCCACTGTATATGCATTTTTTAGGCCTAGCTATACTGCTCACTTAATATGACAGAGTAAATATGTTATCAGGCTTCTATATACATTTGAAAGTGAAAAAAAAAAAGCTAAGATTCACTTTTCAGCAGTAGCCCAGAACTTAACCTACTGTATAAGCAGGGCCCTCCTATATCATTATTGGTACCAGTATCAATAGGTATCAGCTAATTTTGATGGTATCAATATAGGCCTAATACTGAGTATCAATATCAGAATCAGCAAAAATATTTGATATTGTTCCAGCCATAGTGTAAGCAATAAACTGAGCCACTGCCTATTAGCCACTCCACAAAAATAGCTATAACAACACACAAATCAGCAACCAACAGACATTATCCGGCCAATCCACAGAGTAACAGTAACGACATAGTTTATCTGTTGTTTTTGAAATTCATTTACTCAGCATATTTTGTTAGCCAAATCTGTTAAACTGAAATTATTGAAATTTTATGCAATATTGTTCAATCTAATTCCTTGAAGATTAATATTTTTTACTTTAACCATAGAGGAGAGAGGAGAGGAGAGAGGAGAGAGAGACAGAGAGAGAGACAGACAGAGAGAGACAGAGACAGACAGAGACAGACAGAGACAGAGACAGAGAGACAGAGACAGAGACAGACACAGAGAGACAGAGAGAGACAGACACAGAGAGAGAGACAGAGAGACAGAGACGGAGAGAGAGAGAGGCAGAGAGAGACAGAGAGAGACAGAGAGAGACAGAGAGAGAGAGAGACAGAGAGACAGACAGACAAGGTTATCTGCCTGATGAACTTATTCCACCTCTAAATCGACAGGATGGGACCACCTCTACTAGTAGTCAAGAGAAGGCGGACCTCTTTGCTGAACACTTTGCTACCAAAATGCAAGTTCCTGATCCAGCAAGGAACCCTCCTTGGCTAGCTGCAAGAACTGTGTCAAAACTGTCAGTGGTGACAATAAGGCAGGAGGAGGTGCACTTCCTTCTTAAATCGCTTGACCAAGAAAAGGCTGTGGGCCCAGACAAGTTGAGCCCAAGATTGTTGAGAAGATGTGCAGACCAGCTAGCAGCACCTCTAACTCGCATCTTTCAGCACTGCCTAGTACAGTGTAAATGGCCCTCTCTATGGAAAGAGGCAAATGTAGTCCCTGTTCACAAAAAGAAGAGCAGAGCAGAAATCAGCAACTACAGACCAGTGTCACTCCTGTCAATCACTGGTAAGATCCTTGAGACAATAATCTCAAGACAAATGACAGAGTTTTTTGACTACCACTCACTACTTTGTGATCGTCAATATGGCTTTAGGAAAGGTTACTCTGCTGCTGATCTGTTATTAAACCTCTCCACTAAGTGGCACCAGTCACTGGATGAATCCAAAGTCAGCTGTGTGGTAGCACTGGACATTGCTGGCGCTTTCGACCGGGTGTGGCACCAGGGCCTCTTAGCAAAACTTCAAGCACTGGGAATTGCAGGCTCTACGCTATGTCTCCTCAGTGACTACCTTCATGGTAGATCTCTAAGTGTAGTTCTCAATGGAACGGAATCAGCAAGACATCCTATTGGGCAAGTGTTCCACAAGGAAGCGTGCTGGGTCCATTGTTATGGAATGTCTACTTCAACGACCTTCTTCATCTCATCCCAGAATCACATGCATATGCAGACGACTGTACACTGACATTCACTTATCCAAGAGAAGAAATGCCAGCTGCTCTAAGCTACATCAATCACCAGCTGAGAGCTATATCAGCTTGGGGAAATAGATGGCAGGTAACATTTGCACCTGAGAAAACGCAAATGATGATCATCTCTAGGCACCATGATGGTAATGCTGGTGCAGTAGTAAGGATGAATGGGAGGGTGTTGGCACCTGGAGAAGAAGTTGATATCCTTGGGGTGAAATTTGACTCCAAACTAACCATGAAGACCATGTTGTAAATCTTGCAAACAAGGCAGCCAGGAAGCTTACAGCACTTCGCCGTATCTCGCATCTGCTTGACAGTAGGGGTTGCAAGATCCTGTACGAGGCACAAGTACGCTCACACCTTGAGTATGCTCCACTTTCTTGGTTTGCCTGCCCCCCCTCTCGTCTGCGACTGCTTGACAGAGTAGAGAACAGAGTAAGACGTCTCATCTCTAGCTTGGATCCATCTTGGATA